CTGCCTCTTACTCCAGATGGGCTCCACTCCGCTGGGGGGCTTGGGGACAGCTGCAGGGTTCCCCGCTTTCGTCTACGCTCTCCAGAGAAGGGGGCACCCTGAGTCTGGACATTTACACCCTCCGATCACAGAGCGACCAACGTCCCCCCTAATACCTGTAACAACATCCTGCAGCTGCCGTCTGCCGTTTCTTATCCCTTTTGGGTGGACAGGTGACACTGTATGGCTGGTCGACCTGGCTGAGGCCCCTCTGAGTTTTGATGAGTTGGTCCAAAGTCTGGCTGAGGGCAGCCCGGTGGCGCCCCCATCCCACCCACACACTAGCCCTCGGGGCCAGACTTGGGAAAGCCAGGGGGTGCCCCACAGCCCCCATCTACACCCAGACACACCCCACAGTAACAGCTGCAGCTTTGGCCTATGAAAGCTGTAACCAAAGGAGCACGTTTTCAGAGCCCTGCCCCCCATTACCGTGGGATCCCTAACGGCACCTCAGTGGGCTTTGGGGGGCATAGTAAGGATGGTTTTGAACCTCTCCAATGGGCCTGCATTTGCTCCACGAGCAGGGTAGGCGACCCCCCCAGCTGGAGGGCAGGGAACGGGGCAGACAGGGATTGAGAAAGAGAAGCGGCCTCACGTGGACTGCAAGCCCGCTCGGACCCCCTGGGTCTCCAGGCCGCCCCTCCCCACAGAACCGCACGTAGAAACGGGGTGCGGTCCAACAGCCTGGGAGAGGTCACAAGGAATGGGTGGCGTCAGCGCTGGCTCAGCGCCCAGACGTCCCTGGGAGCATCCAGCCCCACCTGCCCCTCCGGCCTCACTGTCTGGCCACTCTGCGCATTTGCAGGTGCCCCACGGTGGACACCGGGGGTGGGGGGGCTTTCCCCGGACACCTGGCCCTGCCAACCTTCCCTGGTGTCAGGGCCTGGCTGCTTTCAGTCAGCAAGGGAGCCGACTTCTTCCAATTCACTTCTTTTAGGGAACTGAGAAAAAGGGTGGGGGGGGGGCTCATTTTATAATTAAAACTTTTCTGTGGTGGTAGAAGGCAACCAGGGGCTCCCTCCGTCTGAGCAGCTGCCCCGACAGACCAGAAGCCACTTTCGGGTCCCTGCAAGCCTCCTCATTCTGGGGAGCCGACCGACGTCGCCAGCTCTGGGGCAGGGCTGCGCCTGTCCAGGGTGAGGGCGAGGTTGGCCGGCGTGACTCAGGCCAGGGCTGGAAAGGCCTGCACTCACCACCACTCGGAGCAGATGTGTCTGTGGGGGCTGAGGGTGGGGCAGGGAGGGTGATCGGGTGCACGAGAGAGGACAACACACAGCAGTGTGGCCCCAGCCCTGGGCCTTTGGAGATTCTAGCACCTTCCCATGAGCTGCTGTCCACTGGATGCCCGGTCTCCATGGAGACCAGCGTTCCCACCTCCACTTCCTGTCCTTTGGCTCAGGCCCCCTTGGGAGCACGAGGGAAACATCTCTAAGAGCTCATCAGCTGTGCAGAGAAAAGCTGGGGCACTCGCTGCTCGGCCGCCTGCCCCAGCCCCCCAGGACCCTGGCAGGCCCCCGACTCACGCCCCACCACCCTTCCTTCCCACTGTGAGCCCAGCGGGAGCTCATGCCAGAGGCCTTGGTCACGGTTCCCGAAGCCTTGGGCTCAGGCCCTTCCCATTCACGTGCTGCTGAATCACTTGAAAAAAATGCATCCCGATCCTGGGAGGATTTGCTGAGAACAGTGCGGCTTTGTGGAAGGAACTGCTGCTCTGCACTTTCTCCGCCAAGACCCCGAGGAGCAGCCAAGCTCGGCCCTGCAAACCCCAAGCCTGGAGCCCACAGCGGGGGCAGCAGCTGGATGGGGCAGGGCAGGAGGCAGAGGGAGCCCGGAGAGGCGCGGAGGGAACGTCAGCCACCCCGCCCCTGCCCCCCTGCAATCCCTGCCCGTCCACTGGCTGGGGAGGGGGCACGGAGGGACCGGGTGGCCCTGTCCTCTCTGGGCTGCCCCACTTGCAGGGGTGAAAGCAGGAGGGCCGGGCCCATGGCTCGGGCCCGTGAGCACGGACAGGGCAGCAGCCCTGGCCCTCGTGTAGGACTGAGGCATGCAGCCTGTGGGCTGACCTCTCTCAGGCAGACCCAGGGACGTAAAGGCTGGGATCCCAGGGCCTACACTCCAGCTTCTGACATGGGGAGAACCCAGGAGGCACATGTGCCCTCTCCTCCTACGCCCTAGAGCTCAGCAGAGCAAACAAGGCTGCCTCCTGGAGTCAGAGGTGTAGAGAGATGTGCTGTCAACCTGGCACCCCTCTCCAGCCTGCGACCTGGCCTGGACTGTTCCCGAAACTGTCAAGGGCAGCCCACGTGTCCACATCAACCCTCCATCGTGTTACAGAGGGAGGGGGTGGGGGCAGGAGACTGGAAGAACCACTGCAGGCCCGAGGAAGAGGCCCTGTGCCCCAACTTTAAAAATCTTCGTTTTCCCGTTATTTTACATTTCTGAGGGTCTGGATATTATCACGCCCCCTATGACCACGCACCTGGCTGGGTGGCGGAGGGGACAGGTGTGAGGACCCTCGGACCAGACCGTAAAGGTTCTAGTAAATTCAGAATGAGACAGAAACAGGGAAGCTGTCCCCAAATGTGTGAGCAGAAGCATGAAACCCATGGAAAGTTCTAGAAGATACAGTGGAGAGGGAGGACCCATAGGGGAGGACCCGAGAAGTGCTCCAGGAGGACGAAGGTGCACACAGCCATCATGTCAGGAATCCTCATTGCCACCTGGCCGTGCTCCGTGGGAACCTGCCAGGAGCCCCCCAGTCTTCCAGGTGGCACTGTCCCAGGGCCCCTGGCACCACTGTCTAGGTATGTCAGAGCGATCTGCAGGGAGCAAAGACAGGGTCCACCAGGACCCCAGCCTGCTCTCTGGGTACCAGGGAGATGGAAGATACCCATGGCCTCTCCAGAGGGAACGGGGAGCAGGCTGGAGGGCAGCTTCATTTTCAGCACCGCGGCCCCCAGCCTTCTGCAGCCCAGGTGGGAAAGGGCGCGGTGTCTCATCCTGCTGCCGGGGGACCGTGTAGGTGTGACCGTCAGGCACCGATGACTCACCCTCCACCTCATCTCGCTGTCCATCTCCTACAACTACTTTTAGCTCAAGTGTGGCCGAGAAGGGGCGCTTCCTCACCTAGGACACTCAGGCCACAAATACTACCTTGGAAAGGAGAAACAAAAATAACCCCCTCAAAGGCAGGCTCATCCATTCATCAGACCGCGGCTTCTAGGCGGTCAGTGCTCGGGTCCCATCATGGTCACGGCTTTAACCCGGTAATCCCATGGCACCTTCTGGGACCAAGGTGATGCTTCAGCAGCATGCAGGAGCCCCGGGTGATCCTGCACCCTGCAACGCTGAGCGACCCCAGGCCAGCCTCCCCTCAGGTAATCCTCATTCGGTTTGGGAGTCGCAGAGCCCTCCCGGCCCCAGGGCCTCGTTCTCACTCACGCTGGGCTTAGATCAGACTGTTGAGCTGGCTTTGCAGCCCTGTCCCGTGACATTCCAGCAGCAGAGGACAGAATGGAAACGGGCTGGGAGCAAACATTTTCTCTACCTAACGTGGAAAAGCCGGACAGACAACGGGGCTCAGGGAGATGCTTTCAATGAGATAACTACGTGAGACCGCAAAAGCTTCCTCACCCCAGCTACCGGGGATTGGAAAAGCACCCAAAAAACTTAGAGGGTGCTGTTATTGCCCTGTCTGAGTGGCACGTGTGGGGGTTCCGTGAGCCTGATGCGCCCCAGGGAAGCCCAGCTCAGGTTTCTCACAGGACTGGGTCACCCCACATCTCCCTGTGCACCCCGCAGGGAGAAATGGAGGGACAAACCCCAAGTTCAGCAGGCACGTAGCTAAGGAGGAACAGAACAGGGAAGGAGCACACAGGTAGAAGCTGGTTTTGAGCAAATATTCTAGATCTTGGGTTTGGATAGTGGGCTCACGATTGTTCATTATGTTATCCAGGAAATAGACACTAAGGGACAGAAGGCCATTCACGGACCAATGATACAAATGCATCATGACCAAAGACGGATGATCCAACTGAGTGCGTCTGAGGTCCTGGGGAGGGAGAGAGGGAGAGAGGGAGAGAGGGAGGGAGGGAGGGAGGGAGGCAGCCACATCCTTCACACACCAGTCCAGAGGTTGCCCAACTGTGGCTTGAGGTCTGCACGCACACACCCCCCTATTTTTGTAAATAAAGTCTTACCGGAACCTGGCCCTGCCCATTCACTCCTATTGTCTATGGCTGTGTTCGAGGTGCAGCGGCAGGGGCGGGTCGTGGCCGCAGGGACTGGTGGGCTGCCAAAGCCTAGAATGTTCACTATCTGGCCCTCTGCAGAAAAAGTGCATCCCTCCACCCCTGTTCAGACTCTAAGTATCTGCAACTGGCAGATGAACCTCCTCCCGCCCAGCTGCCGGGTCAGGGGTGCAGCCGGGGGTGGGACACTGACCAGCCGGCCAGGCACCCCGCCACTCCAGCCCCAGGCGGAGGCACCCGGCAGGCCGTGTTGCTGGGGACCACTCCCCTTTCTTCTCTGGGGCTCTGTCTTCCCTTTCCCCTCTCCCCCCTGCTTCTCCTCTGCCTGTCTCTCCCTCTGTCTCACTTCCCAACGTTAAAGTGACAAGAATACCCTAAGCCAGGTGCCATGAAATGAGGTTGGTTTTGTTGGCTTGGAAGACGAAAGAGGTTTGAGTGCAATGTCCCCATTCATATCCCAGCCAATCGCTAAGCAACAAATGATGTATCTTTTGAAACTGTGCCGGCTTGACCTTGGACGCCCCCTGAAAGTCCAGTGTTTATGTGGCCAAAACATCCGAACTCCCTCCTTCACCTGAATCTCCGGCTGTGCTCACGGCCCATGCGGGCACAGCCTCAGCCCCAGGACCCACCTGGGCGCCCTGCCGGCCAGCTTCCCGTGGTCGTGCCAGGGAGCCTTCCCGGACGGGACTTCGTCAGAAGGCAGGCCCAGGGAAGGAGGATGCGCCCCCGGAGGCCATCGGGGGGGACAGGTGGCCCGCCGGGGTCTGAGCGGGGGACGCGCACACAGACTCTCAGAGGCTTGGGTACCATTTCCGGCATCACGCTCGCTATCAGTGATGTATTTATCATGGGTGGGACGCTCGCTCTTATCCTATCCTCTGAAACTCTTGCAAGCATTTCCTGGCTTCTTCAAGAAATTGCTTGTGCAACTTGTTTTGCTCTTCAATTTGCTGCTGAAGGTCATGGATCATCTGACTGTGCCTGTCATCGTCCATGAAGCTGGGGGCCCAGAGGGAAGTGTGCTCACATGCCCCTTCCTTCCCCTGGTCTAGGGAGGAGAAAGACTTCAGGCGGGCCAGGCACGCCCTTCTCTGTTCTCTCTGCTCTTCCAGCCCGGCCTGGGAGTGGGCTTCCCAGCTCAGCCCCGGGGGGCCCATGCGGTGCCACAGCTCCAACTGCCCACCCGGTCCCTGCCACAACGCTGCCAGGCCAACTCCGTCTGCCTGATCCCGCGGGGACCGGCGCTAGGCGTCCTCCACCAGCGGGTCCGGTCTGGCCGCTGCTTGTCCAGAGCCCATGCCACCAAGGAGCCGGTTCTCTTCACCAATAAATACTCTTGCCTTGGGAGACAGCGGTTCACTCTCAGTCTTACGTGGGAACTTGGCCAACCGGAGATATTTCTGGTTCTTGAGCTTGTTCAGGAACTCCTTCAAGCTGGTTTGGGACTTGGTCTGGTGGGTATCCGCCTGCACTGGGCATGTGGGCTCCCCGCCAGGCTGCACGTCCGCCTCTGCACCCACCGCTGTCTTGTCTCTCTGGGGCTCACCTCTACACTCCTGCACCTCGGAGAGGCCAAGCTCTTCCCTGGAGCTCTGATCCACCCCGGGCCCCGCTGCAAGGTGCAAGTTCAGGTGCTTCTTCAGCTCTCTGTTTGTGTTAAACAGCTCCTGGAAGGCAAACTCAAGCTCCCTCTGCCACCTGCTCTTGTCCCCGCACCGGCACGGAGACGCCTGGGGTGCGGCGCCCCCTCTGTGGGTCCAGCCAACGGGCCACAGCTCTTCTAGGTCTTCTGCTTTTCCCTCGGGACTCTGATGCTGACGGTTGTTGTCCGGGCCTTGACCAGGAGGAGCCGCCCCCTTTCCCGGCTGCCTCCGCCCGTCCCGGGCTCCTTCTCTCCCCTTTCTCCCGACGCTCGAGCTCCCCGGCAGCAGCCAAGAACTCTTCTATGTGCACCCCTCTGCCCCCCCGGGGCTCAGCGGGACGGCTGCCACCACGGGTCTTCATCGAAGGTGCTCGCTTGCCCTTACTCTTCTCAGGGGGGCAGAGGGGGTGACGGGTCCGGCCCGCGGCTCTGGGAGGCCCCTGCTTCTCCGCGCCCACCGCTTTCCTCTGGGACTTGGTGCGCCAAGGCTGCCGTCCGACTAGCTCTTCTCTGCGTCTCTCCTCTTCCCTGACGGCTGCTCTGTGCTTCTCCGTGGCCCTCTGCGGCCGGGCTGCTCCTCGCTGGGCCGGCCCCTGCGAGCCAGGCAGGGGCTCCCTGGCCTGTCCTCCCCCTGTGCCTGACAGATGTGCTAAATATGGCCACTCCAGGCCCCGGCCTTGCAGGCTGGGGGCCTCCTGCCACCCAGCCTCCAGCTCCTCGGCCAGGCGCTGCGGGCTCTTCTGCTGCGGGGGTCTTGTCGCCTCTGCAGGGCGAGGGCTCCTTTCTCGCGGACTTGCAGCAACCTGTGCGTCTGCCTCAAGCACGCGACCTCGTGGTCGGGGCTGGGACTCCGCCGAGCGGCTCGGTCTGCGTTTCTTTTCATGTCGGCGACCTGGGCAGGCACGGCTTCAGAGCAAAAGTGGTGGGAACCAAGAGCGGGAGTCACGGCGCCGGGGGCGGAGGGGCCATACCTGCCACAGCTGTCCCGTGCCGAGCCCACAAGACCAGGACACACTCTGCTGCCCGGAGCGTTCTGAGAAGAGCGAGCCCTGGAGACAAGGCACACGCAGCTCTGGATGCAGGACAAGCTCTAAAGCGCGTCCCTCCGGGTCACTTTTGCCAAGACCCGCCCGTGAGGGCCCAGGCTCGGTTCCCAGTCTGTCTTGCACACCTTTAACGAGACCCTGTGGGGCGGCTGTTTTCCCCGGGGTGTGGTTTTTGCTCTCCAGGGGACACGTGGCAACGTCTGGGGACATTTTTTGTTGTCATAACTGCAGGGAGGGGGAGCATCTAGTGCATGCAGGCCAGGGACACTGCTCGACATCCCGCGTTGGCCAAGAGGTCCCCACAATGAACAGGGGCTCAGCCCCCCATGTCAACAGTGCCGAGGCTGAGACCCCCACCCTAGGCAGGGATGGAAGGGTGCAAGGGTCCGGGCTCTGCAGGGGGAGCTGCTTACAAATGGGAGGAAGAAAAGGTGGCGAAGGAGCCTGTGAGGCCAGGTGTGTGTGCACGTGTGCAGGTGTGTGTGTGTGGGGGGGAGAGAATGCATGGTACTAGAATCCACTGCAAACCACTCAGAGGGGGCTTAAGCTTCTGCTTTCGGGATTCGCAGTTCTTCTCTTGTGGGGTTATCAGAGGGGGACGCGTTGGCATCCGGAAGGGACCCGTGCCCTGCAGGCCCTCCTAGAAAAGGAGGGGCATTTACACCAAAAAAGTGTGGACTCACACTGTGTCCACCGGCAGCTGATGTCAAAATCAGCCAGACCGGTGGGCTAAAGGAGCCCCTTCCTAGACAGCTGCAGGCTGTGCCGAGTGCCCCTCCGCCACCCCTCCCTGCTTTCGTTTTTTTTTTTTTTTAACGTTTTTTTATTTATTTATCTGAGAGAGAGAATGGGAGACCGAGAGCATGAGAGGGAGGAGGGTCAGAGGGAGAAGCAGACTCCCTGCCGAGCAGGGAGCCCGATGCGGGACTCGATCCCGGGACTCCAGGATCATGACCTGAGCCGAAGGCAGTCGCTCAACCGACTGAGCCGCCCAGGCGCCCCCTGCTTTCCTTTTAGTCTGTGCGCAGCCGGGCTGAGCAAGGCCAGCCCAGAGGCACGGCGGGAGTTGGAAAACAACACCGCATCCACGGAACATCAGTTACGTGTACCTGCCCATCTTTCTTACAATAACCCTGTGAGGTAAGGGGCTACCAGCACCCCTGGTTCACAGCTGGGGAAACTGAGGCAGGGACCGATGAAGAAACTTAACCGAGATCACACAGCTGGCATATGGTCCACATTCGACCGGCCAAGGCTGCTCACACTGCCGCCTGCTTTTGGTAAACGTGATCACCCAGTGAGACACTTAGAATAGCGGTTAGCATGCCATCCAGCCACTCTGCCGACCACCACGATGAGCAAGAGGCGGGGAGAGAGAGAGCTGGGGTGCTGAACGTGAGTGGCGGGGATTCGCAGAGGTGCCCCGGGAATTCGACGGGGGAAGGAACAGTCTGGGTGTTTTCTCAACAGATTGTGCTGGGACAGTTGGATAGCCACATGCAAAATCATACACCACACATAAAAACGAACTCAAAATGGAGCACAGACCTTAACATTAGGTCTAAAGCTACAGCTTCAGCGGGAGACATAAGCGTATCTTCGTGACCTTGAGTTAGGCAAAGATTTCTTGGATACGATCCCCAAAGCACAATCAACCAAAGAAACTGGTTAAGAAGGTGTTATCGATCCTAAACACCTTGGCATGCCAAGAGACCTCATTCATAGGTGAGAACAAAAAGCACAGAGTGGCAAGAAGTACCTGCGAATCACATATGCAACAGAAGGCTTGAATCCAGATTATATAAGCCACTCAAGATGTAATAAGACAAATAATCCAAGTTTTAAATGGGAAAAAAAAAAAAAGCAAAATAGACACTTGACTAAAGAGGAGGCACGTGGCTCATAAAGCGTGAGATTTTAGCATCGGCCGTCATGGGGGGGGTGCACGTGGAAGCTACGAGGGACCGTTCGCGCCCACCGGGATGGCAGTAACGAAACAGACGGACCGTAACACGTGTTGGTGAGCACGCGGAGCAGCCAGAATCCTCCCACGCTGCTGGCGGAATGCGACACGGTGCAGCCGTTTTGGAAAACAGTTTGGCCGATTCTGAAAAGGTAGACGCAGATTTACCATATGTCCCAGCAACCGCATGTCTCAGCGCACGCCCAAGAGAAAGGAAGAGCGCGTGTCCAAACCAAAGCCGTGGAAACACAGAGGGACTGGACGGCCTCCCCGGCTCACGGGCCAGATGGGAGTTTGGGTCCGAGTCTCAAATGCCAGCGATTGAGCTTTTTCCACCTTGGGAACGGCCACGGTGGTGTCCAAGCAGGTGGGGAGAGCTGTGAATGTCCCCTCGTCTGCTCTGGAAGACACCTGGAGGGAAGGGAGACTGCGCCCTTCGATGCAGCGGTCCACCGGCTCATCTTCTGTTAACTGGTGACGGTTAGTAACACCTGGATGCGCCTCTCCTGCTCCCGAGCGCCCTAACCCACTCGGTCACCCTGAGCCAGGCCCACGGAGGCCAGCACCCCAATGCCACCGAGTTGGCTTTTCTAGGAGACACACAAATGGATGAAAACATAAAACCTCCTGACAGACTTCTTGGGGACAAAGTGCAGAACTGGAGTGCAAACTGGAGTCAGCTCCCAGTTCAGGAACTGAAAACCCCATGACGCCCAGCAGACGCCTCCTTGCCCTCCGCCCACATCCCCAGCTCCTCCAAGCTGCCACCTCCAAGCCTGGCCCCACTTGCTAACTTGAGCCCAGAGTGTTCTGAGCATCCTGGGGTTCTCCCTCTGGTCTTGTAATCCTGCTCCCCCAGAGCTGGACGGCTGCCTGCGCCACGCCGGCTGCCTTCAACCCCTCAGGGAAACCACAGCCCCCGTCCCGACACAAGCCCCACTCAGAGCAGTAGACGGAAGGCGAGGTGGACGCCGTCTGGCCTCCTGCGCCAGGCGGACACTGGGCCCATTCTCTCCCACCCTCTGTGGCCCCGGTGCGGTGGCCACCCCCAGGCAGTCGCTCCGATCGCCTTCCAGGAGAGATGGGCCCCTGCCAGGCCGCTGGGGAGACCTGCTCGTGGGCGCCGGCCGGCGCCAGGCCCACAGCAGACTGCAGGGTCCCTCACACCCGTGACGGAGAACGGCAACTGTGCCACGATCAGAGGCTGGGAGGTACCCAGGCTCTGACGTCAGGCAGGTCCCATGGCTCCACCGTAGGGTCGCAGTCCCGTGGCTCCCTCCCGCATACAAGCGGCATGAGGCTGCCCGTGCAGGGCCACGGAGGGGTGACACAGGGGAAGCCGCACACGTGCCATCGAGGACCCGCCTGTGGCCCATCCTCACGGGCAGGCTCAGAGCCGGCGGGTGGGCCGGCCCGCGCTCGGTGGGCGGTCACGTGGCTGATCTGTGGCAGTTGGTCGGGACAGACCCCCCGCCCTCCAAGTGTTGGCATGTGTTGTGAGGATGCTGCAGGTGCTAGGGGGGCCCCAGATCCCCCAGAACGATGTCTGTGGTGGCAGAGTCAGGATGACACGTGGTGGACATCACACACCCCCAGGGAGCCTGGGGAGTCCGTCCACCTTGCACGTACCCTACTCTCGGCTGGAACCCACAACGTGATCTGAGGGCTCATCTGTGCCCATGGGACTACATGCGATTTCACAGACATTTAACCAAACGAGGTAACGTGCATGAAGAAAACGGTAAAACGGAGCTTGCTGTGTGGACAGGACACTGATCACCACGTAGACCTCACTGACGGTAGACCCGCGTGGCGCAGGCCATCCCTCTCGCCTGGTCTCACCGCGGCAGGTGAGCTCTAGCCCTATCCCCGCATTCTGATGCGGAAACGGAGACTCAGAGAGGTGAAGTAACTTGCCTAAGACCACATGGCTCATAAGCAGTACAGGAAGGGTTCAAATCCGAGCAGGCAGACCCCTGACCTGAGTCACCCACCCTGCAGCTGAGGGACGTCAGAGCTGGGAGCTAGGACTCTGTCCTGGGGTGAACTTATCACCTGACCTCCCACTATCGCGAGAGGCGCTTAGCCTCTGTGCGACGGGATGGGCCTCAGTGTTTTCCTTGCGTTTTTACTGGAGTTCATCAAATGAACCACCCTCCCCTTTCCCACTCAAGTATTTTCCTTAAACACTGAAAGGCAAGAGCCAGCATAGTGCCTCCTGAATCTTGTTAAGAGTCGTATTTTGATCCAGCAGGTCTGGGGTGAGGCCGACCTTCTGACTTGTAAGGAGCTCCCAGGGGATGCGATACTCGGGCCCGGGGATCACACTTTGAGTAAGGCGGTCCTAGCAAACGGCTCTACCCAGTATCCGTGTCTCGAGATCTGCCTCCTCCCAGCCTCTTACCCCACCTGAGCCCCTCCTACAAGACTCCTAATCAGGCTCTCTGCCTCCCCCGGCCCTGAGCCTGACCCCAACACCTCCACACCCGGCTACAGCCACCATTCACTCAGCCAGTGGTATCTTCACTGGTGCCCTGCTGCCCATGCCAGCAGGTGTCCCAGCACCATCCACAGGCCACCTGCAGCACGGTCCGCTGAGCTGCCAGTTAAAATGCAGATTCCTGGGACGCCTGGGTGGCTCAGTCAGGCAGACCTCAGACAGGCAGACCTGTCTGCCTTCGGCTCAGGTCATGATCCCAGGGTCCTGGGATAGAGTTCCACATGGGGCTCCTTGCTCCACGGGAAGCCTGCTTCTCCCTCTCCCACTCCCCTGCTGTGTTCCCTCTCTCGCTGTCTCTGTCTCTCTGTCAAATAAATAAATAAAATCTTTAAAAAAAAAAAAAAACCAGCAGATTCCTGGGCCCTGCGTCTGCAGGGAGGGGCCCAGACCCTGGTCAGTTCACCAGCTCCTAGGGAATTCCCAACAAGGTCAACAATCCCTGGTCTGTGGGCCCGAGAACATGCGGCAGCTCCTGATCCAGCTCCCCTACCCAGCTGGGCTCCTTGACCCCCCCCCCCCCGCCCCACCCAGGTCCGGGGCCAGAGTTGTGCTCACGTGGGTTCTTCTTCCTCAACCCTACCCGCATTTCCCCAAGCCAGGTCCGGTCCCTCCTTCCTCCAAGGACGTCCCCCAACCTCTGTAGCGACGAGAGAAATGCTCCTGCCTTTCTCTAAAGGCCTACAGACTGGGCACCTGGGTGACACGGTTTAGCACTTCTTCTTTGAAACGTATAAAAATAGACACAAAAAAGCCCCCATTAGCTGGCATGGCCGGAGAACGTTTCCCTATAGCTAAAGCTTACTCTTTCATGTGTGAAGTTAATCATTTCTGTCTTCTGAGAGTCCACAGAACAGATCAAGTTTGACCTTTTCTCGAACACTCCAGATAATCTTTTGGACTAAAACGTAAGGAATCCTTTTAGGGCTTTTAAAATGCATAGGACCAAAAAAATATATGTAGGACAGAGTGCCTCTACAGGAAGTGACCCCAGAATATAATCTGGGTTCTATAGGTTGACTCTTTATAGCCTCCTCTGTTCTCCTCCCCGGCTGAGACACAGACACGGGGACAGCACCCTAGCCTCCTTTTTTCCAGTGGCCTGGCACCCACATGGGGAGCTGCTAAAACTGTGTCTGGAGATCAACAGAGTTTGCGGCACAGGGCACGGACAGCTCTTCTGTGAGTCGAGGACAGGAGTGTGTGACTCTGAACATACCAACCTAGCTGCGGACAACCAGCACCCAAGTACCCACGGGGACACACAGAACCAGCTGTGTTGCTGGAAGGTACACCTCCAGCTCAGAAGATTTTTTTAAGATTTTATTTACTTATTTAGAGCAAGCGAGACAGCAGGGGGAGGGCAGAGGAGGAGGGAGAGAGAATCCCAAGCAGACTCCCTGCTGAGCGTGGAGCCCGACGCAGGGCTCGATCTCATGACCCTGAGATCATGGCCTGAGCCGAAATCAAGAGTCAGATGCTTCACGGACTGAGCCACCCAGGTGCCCTTCCAGCTCAGAAGATTTTTAACGGGCCTGGATACCTGGCCAAATCTAACAAGGCACCACGTACTGGGAAGACATTTACAACTCGCATGTGGGCCCCCTAAAACCAACTGCACAAATGCAGAGTGGGAGCAGGTCGGCAGAGATGTGTGGCCTCCCACAGAGGCGGTGTGATCTTTACCCGTGGGGACAGAGGGGCCTAGAATAAGCAGGGCAATAGTCCAGCCCGGCGATACCTGGGTCAGACCCCAGCTGGGCGTTCCAGGCCCTTGGCGTGCTGAGCTGGAGGGCACGTGGAAGAGGCAGGCCCACGCCCGAGGAGCTCCCACCCCACGGGCTGTCCGGATCAAGCGAGGTGGTCTGTGAGGCTCTGCAAACAGCCCGTGGCTCACAGGAAGGCCCGGTGAATGTCTGAGCACCACAGAGCTGTAAAGACAGAGGATGGAGCCCATGTGCACGCAGCTGACAGACTTGAGTCTAAATAACCTCAAAGAGGCGCCGATAGCTCACAACGTCTACTTCAACAATGTCGGTGGGAGTCTCATAATCATAGTGTAACTACTGAAACGCTTATGAATTCACCTAATTAAGAAATAGACGATAAATGACAACCGTGCAACTTCACTAAATAAGGAGAAAACTTAAATAATGGAGAGACTGGACTTCCCAGAAAGAATTCAGAAAACCTCTCTAGTGAGTGTTCAACGAAGGGGGAAGAGGATGTCGCCTGAGTTCAGGAGGAGAATGAAAAACCTGTCCGAGGAAGAGAAGTCCTGAGGAACTGAGAATGTTTGGAGTGGAGCTCGCAGGTGATAGAAAAGTCTAGAACAGCACAGTGTGGTGGTTAAGAGTATTAGATGTGTGACCTGGTACCAGTTTCCTAACTCCGGACGCCTCAGTTTGCTCCTCTGTGAAATAATGGAAATAACAGCACTCATCACCCTTAGAAACACCCAAAGGCTCAGTACACTGTCTGGGGAAGAGGATGGTACTTACTGTGCACGTCTCCAGATGACTGAGCTAGACCAAGAACACATTACAGGGAGGCAGAAACTGGCCAGGTGGAAAGAAGCACTTCCTACAGGATTGTCTTGAAATCACTGGGCTGACTTGGTAGGTAGTGAGACACCCATCACTGGAGGCATCCAAGCCAAGCCCGGATAAAACAAACATCAGAAACATTTTTAACTCCATTTCTCTGAGCTCTAGCCTCTAAAAATACACTCTGTGACACCCAGAGCCTCGAGGTTTGCCCACTTCCTGACTCCCAGCCAAGTTCCAGAGTGGTAGTTCCTAAAGCCAGCTGGGTTTTGGACCAGCTGCATCAGAATCACTGGGGCAGTGGTAGACAGGAGTCCTGGCCAGGCCCCACGGCAGATCTTTGCACCAAAATCCTGGGGTGGGGGCTTATAAATCTGTATGTTTCACCATCAATCACCCTGACATACAGCCTGTTTGGGACAGTTCTGGAAGGCCAAGATGGACAGGCAGCCAGGCCCGTGTCTCTGTTATCCCCTCGACCAGCTTCAGACTCAGAACGAGGCCCAGACTCTTCCAAACTCTTGGGAGATACCAGGCTAGCCAAGTGGGCCACTTACGGCTAACCCAACTGGTGGCTTACTAAATGTCCCTTGACAATGTCAATCATCGGGTTTCCCTGCAACCTCAGACTCCAGGGACACAGTGTAGGTCTGGGGTCCCCATGACTAACAGCTGTTCCTACTACACGATGACCTCTCCCCACTCTTCCAAACAACCACGTTCCTCCCCAACCCCGTCCCACCCCCCATCCTTCCACCCAACTGTATATGGAGAGCCTCACAGTACAGGACTTTCAAATTAGCCTTCGGGGCATGTGGCCTGGCCACCCTGACCGGCCCACTTCCCAAGGCCCCTGGAGGAGCCTCACCAAACGGCTGGGCACACAAAGAGCCCACCCCACCACAGACACAGGGCGGGCACCGCGGGAACTTCGGAGGGCCTGCATTGGGGTCCCTGGGGCCCACTGACCAAAGCAGGCTGGAATCGCAGCTCCCCACCTCCACCAGCAGCCCGGCGTCTGCCCCAGCTGGTGAACTATGGCAGGCTGCTGCCGTGGGAACGACAGAGCTGCTGGCCCGTGACATCAGAGCAGGGGTGAAGTCAGGGACAGCGACGAGCCAGCCAGAGGGCAAGCGCCTGGCAGGACCCCTGTTGTGGGTCCAGCAATCACAAAGATTTGGCTCAAAACAGCTGGGGTGACAAGCAGGGTGACGGCCTGCGTGGGGCATCAGGAAGGTCCTGGCACGTGTGCCCTTTTGTTGTTTAAAAAGGGGCTCTGGGTGAGAAAATCCTTTACTCCCCAGCCTGGCAGCACATGCTGGCGCTCCCTGCCAGGGGCTTGCTCTTCCGAGCTGTCCCACATCAAAGTCAGGGTCCCCGCGATGCCTGCCGCCCCTCACCCCGCGGGGAGAGCATCTGTTCCCACTCAGGTGGGGACATCTGCTGCTAGAGGGTGTCACTGTTGAGCAGGACTCCCTGGGGGTGGGGAAGAAGGGCTCCTGGCCCAGGACCCTGTGGGCCACCCACCCACCCAAAGTAAGAAGTCGGACATGCCTGGGCGCCTGGGTGGCTCAGTTGGTTGGGCGACTGTCTTCGGCTCAGGTCATGATCCTGGAGTCCCTGGATCGAGTCCCACATCGGGCTCCCTGCTCGGCGGGGAGTCTGCTTCTCCCTCTGACCCTAACCCCTCTCATGTGCTCTCTCTCAATCTCTCTCTCTCAAATAAATAAATAAAATCTTAAAAAAAAAAAAAAAAAGAAGTTGGACGTGCCTGACCTCGTTTCTAGGGCTAGGGGCACTCTCCACGAATCTCACAACTAAGAAATTTAGTTTGGGGAACAGGACTTTGGCCCTAAGAAGTCAAAGCAACAGATCTCGGGGTTTGGCTTCTTGAGAGGAGAAAGTTAATAACAGGAACTTGGCTGAAGCGTGGGAATCTCGGGGACAAAAGCCTTTGTCTGGGGCTGGAAGGGCCCTCGGAGGAATTCTTCCCACGGGAAGTTCTCAACCACAGCCCACCCCCTCCACCCACTTTTGTTGGGGTCTCTCTTCTTGGTCCTTTAGATCTAGTCTTCTCCTTCTGCAGCAAATACCCTCCAACCCCTTGGCCTCTGCAGTGTGGTCTTGTGTACCCCCCTCAAGCAAGGGACAAGAATGGGGGGGTAGATAAACATGGCATCCAAATGTTACAGCTCAGAGGGCCTCTGATGGCCTTCCGGAATGTTCCAGCATGGCCACCACCAACATCCTCTCCCTGCTGCTTCTGGATTGAGGACATTTCTCCCACACCCAGTCCTCCTAACACTCCCTCAGCAAATCCTGGAAGGCAGCTCCCATCCCTCCTCACTGGCTCTAACGCTGGGCGCCGGACCCCACCAGCTCTGAACATCTGGGCCCCCTGCTACTGCGCTCCACAATTAGACCCTCACTTTAGCGAGCTGTAACTTTCAAAATTACACATATCACTCACGCTCATCATAGGAAAATTAGAAAACACACGCTTGTGAAAGAAAGTCTAATTTCACCCCCTCTATCTGAACGTGTTCTAGTAAAAAAAAATTGTATGCCATTTGGTCCTGGGGAGCGTCCGAAGCTGTGATTTATTTAACCACTCCCCCTGCTGCTGTGCGTGTAGGTGTTTCTAACGTTTCCCTAAGACAAGACGGAGATGAATATCCTCCTGCCTAAATGTTAGCATGTGTCCTCAATTATTGCCTAGATACACGAGTTGCCTGATCAGAGGGGAGACTTATGTTTAAAGCCCTCGAGCTGCACTGCCAAAACACGCTTCCAAGCCTCCAAAGTGCTCAGGTTAAGACAGCATATACCTATAGTCAAGCCCTTCCAAGGACAACAAGCCTCGTAGCCAGATGAGCCGAGCAATGGGAAGTCCAGCGCTGTGACATCCAATCCCGCTTCCAGAGACTCGTGCCAGGACCGGGCTCCTTCCATTCCTGGCAGGAGCCCTCGGTGGCATGACCTTGGTGAGTCATCCAACCCCTCCCCACCCACACAGGAGGGGACACGGGCCTCACCTGCCTCACTGAGTCCCTGCAAGTCAGGAGAGAGATGGGAAGTCCTTCTGCACTGGAACGGCGGAGACAGGGGATGTTTTTATCTAAGAGACGTAGGACTGGGGAGGATGTGTCTCGTGTTTTTGATCCCTGCCTTCCAGAACAGTGCACACAGAGCAAAAGACCACCATAGATTTGTTCCTTCATTCTCTGTCCTGGAGCCATCTGGGCCAAGGAAACCAGATGTCGCGACAGAGAACCCGGGACGGGCAGTATGCATCCCGGCTCTGCGCTAGAGCCTCTCCCTCCTGAAATGCCAGGCTGGTCCTTTTCTTCCACAGACATTGAAGGATGGAAGGTTAAATGCTAGACAAATGCTCCCAGGGGAGAACTGTGCGCACATGTCCAACTAACGACCCTTTGCCCAAAAAGCAGGGCGCCTTGTGTGGGGCCCCCAAGCCACCCTGTCGCAGAGTCAACATCATCATCGTGAAATGGATTCTGTCCTCTGAACAGAACAATCCACCTCGGACCTGAAGCCCACAGGCGGCCAAAGTCCTCTCCCCGGCTGGTGACCGAAGGAATGCCATCTCTTGAAAGCACCTGGACTCTAGTGACCAGCTAGGTTTGCAGCAGGGACACTCAGTAGCCTTGTGACCACGGGCAAAGGCTCGGGTAATCTTCCTCGGTGTCGGAGCCCCTGGTGGTGAGGTCACCGTGAGTGCAGACTCCGCTGGGTACGTGCAAGCATGCAAGACATGCAACACAACAGGATTGTTGCCCTACGTCTCTGCCTGCAACACGGTCCTGGCTCTCTTCGGCCTCCTGTCCTTGCCTTCCACTCTCCTGCATGTCACGGGACCCAGGGGAGGACACGGTGGCCTGCGGAGGGTCAGCCGACTCAGCATAGTGGATTCTCAACCCCTGGAGTGACCAGGCAGAATGGCTTGGCAAAGGCGGGGCCGCAGACCCCCGAGGGTACGATTTCTCTTTGGTGCTGTGAGCTTGTGTGATCATGAGGAAGTGCACAGCCCTCCTCCATCCGTGTGCCCTGAATCCCCCATCCAGACGGGAGCGAGGAGGTAGGTAGCCAGAGCGAGCTAGACACAACAGGCAGGCTGGGCTTCAGTGCTGAGAGTCGGCCGGGAATGGAGAGGAGAGGTTAATTTTCCTGTCCCACCTGTGGCCTTCTTCTTACCGAGCTCCAGCTGGAGCACCAAGCTGGGGCTCCGCATCCCAGGTGCGCTGGGGGGGCTGACGGCGGAGGTGGGGGGCTCCCTGGCGTCTGCACTAGGCTCACCCGGCAGAGATTTACTAGCCTCTGCCAGGCCAGCATCTCGAGGAATTTCATCCTGCTTGTACGGAAGAGGGAAAGGAGCCTCGGGCACAGAGTCGGGCTTCAGAACCAGTTCCGGCTGGCTTTTTGCTCCCAATTCCTTCCACTTTGTCTTTTTTCTCTAAAATGTCAGTCCATTTCCTCATTCGGCCCTTGGTAAAGAATCGGCTGTTGATTTGTAACCAGGGCCTTGGAGTACATGCAGGGGGTGTAGGCAGAACCTGCGGCAGGACCCCGTGCTTTGCCGGGTCTGTGACAGTGCCCCCAGCCCTGATGGGACAGCCAGGAAGGCCCAGCCAAGGCCTTCAGACTATAGATCAGAAAGGGACCCATAAAGCCTCAACCCAGGCCAGGTCCTGCCCCCAGGACACGCTGAGGAGATCTCAGGGGCTCCCACCCGCGGCACATCCCCCCGCAGAAAGCCAGGTTTTGTCTCGAAGCTCACTTCTGCCTCATCCAGGCCACTTTGCTCTCCGGCTCAAGACCCCAGAAGCGGGGGGGGTGTGGGGGGGTGGATTCTCTGCATCTTTGGGGTCAGGTCGGGGAATGACACCCCAGGGGCATGGCTGCTTCTCAAGCAGGCAAAGGGGAGAGAGCGGCCAGCAGCAGGCAGCGCTCACGGGCAGCCGGCCCTCACCTCTCGGCCCCGGGCTCGGCCTGCGTCGGGAAAGGGACGAAGGGTCCCTGCCGGGCTCTGCGCACCGTCCTGCCTCCTGCAACCGCTCAGCTCCGCGGCCCAGCTCAAAGCCGCACAACCCCGTGACAGTGTGCAAGACCAGCTTGGACACCTTGAACAGGTGAGCGGGACGCGCACGGCAGCTCAGCGAAGCCGACAGAAAGCAGCCTGTCTCCGAGGCACATGAAGGACGACAGGCTTCTCAAGGAGCAACCAACCCTCCGGGCGACGCTTTCTCAGGGGACCCAAGGCAGCGTCAGGCGGCCCCCCCAGGCTCAGCACCCTCACCCTATTCTCATGGGGGCCCCTCCGCCGCCCCCCACTCCTGAGGAAACCCTCACCTCCCTGTCCCTCCACATCTATCCCCAGCGCCTTTCAACTTGGAAACAATTATCCGCCTAAGACACGCTAATCTAACAAAATTTAGAAAATGCAGATAAACAAAAGGAAATAGAAATTGCCCTTGATCTCACCTGCTGCCTAGAATTTTGACGGGACACCCTTCCAGACTTCTCTCTCTATGCACATTTAAATGTGTACACACTTCTTTATGAGATAAAGATACACAGAAAACCACATAAAGGAAAGCCAGTGAATTACCACCAAAAAAGCAGGCCAGTGGTGACCCTAGGGAAAAGGGGAAGTTAGGGCCAGGAGGGATCAACAGAGGGTTGGGGGAGGCAGCAATGTTCT